ATTAAGATCATTTCAATATTTATCAAAAAATCGTTATATTTAATTTTGACATTTGACAGTTTCTAACCTAACTTTTTCATTTTTTAACCCAACTATATCATGTTTGGTATCAAATTAAAGCATTTTTGATTCTTATTAAGATCATTTCAATATTTATCAAAAAATCGTTATATTTAATTTTGACATTTGACAGTTTCTAACCTAACTTTTTCATTTTCTAACCAAAATATATCATGTTTGGTATCAAATGAAAGCATTTTTGATTCTTAATGAGATCATTCCAATATTTATCAAGAAATCGTTATATTTAATTTTGACATTTGACAGATTCTAACCTAACTTTTATATTTTTTAACCCAAATATATCGTGTTTAGTATCAAATTAAAGCATCTTTGATTCTTATTAAGATCATTTCAATATTTATCAAAAAATCGTTACATTTAATTTTGACATTTGACAGTTATTAACCAACTATTTTACTTTTTAACCCAAGGGTATAATGTTTGGTATCAAATGAATGTCACATGTCATCTCAAGAATGTAAAAAATATGTTAATAAAAAATGACACTGAATGTGTCACCTCACAAATGTCACTTGTCAAATTAGAAATATTACAAATATAAACAAAATGACGTTTTAATATGTCACCTGTCATGTCTTTGACTCCGAGTATAAAAAAGTTATGTTAGAAACTGTCAACTGTCAAAATTGATATAACGACTTTATAATGAAAAAAAAAAAATTTTGATTATAAAGGTGTTCTTTTTTTAACATAAATGGGCAGAAAATTGAAAATGCTTTAAAATGAACCCAAACTCGACTAATTTATCTCCAATTGTTACCGAGATATCTTAATTTTTATCCAAAAAAAATGGCGATTATTTGACATTTGACAGTTTATAACCTAACTTTTATTTTTTAACCCAAATATATCGTGTTTGGTATCAAATTAAAGCATTTTTGAGTCTTATTGAGATCATTTCAATATTTATCAAAAAATCGTTATATTTAATTTTGACATTTGACAGTTTTTAACCTAACTTTTATACTTCTTAACCCAAATATATCGTGTTTAGTATCAAATTAAAACATTTTTGATTCTTATCAAGATCATTTCATTATTTATCAAAAAATCGTTATATTTAATTTTGACATTTCGATAGTTTATAACCTAACTTTTATATTTTTTGACACAAATATATCGTGTTTGGTATCAAATTAAAGCATTTTTGATTCTTATTGAGATCATATCAATATTTATCAAAAAATCGTTGTATTTAATTTTGACATTTGACAGTTTTTAACCTAACTTTTTCATTGTCTAACCCAAATATATCGTGTTTGGTATCAAATTAAACCATTTTTGGTTCTTATTAACACCAACTGTGTAAAGTAATCGGCGGTTTTAAGTGGTTGCAGTGGACGAGGTTTAGTCGGCCGATTCTTAAAGTCTTCTTAAAGTATTTGCTGAAATTATGTCTTCGAAGTCGTTTAGAATATGGCAAATAACAAAATATTGAATACGGAGCAACTTTCTTTTTTTCCAACATTAATCAAGATATCAGATGTGACAGCAAAAATCAAACACACTGTATATCTAGAGCAAAGTACTAAAAAATTGGAGATATCGAGATGCAGTTTTCACCAAAATGAAGCAAACTTTATGTCAATTTTATGTCAAAATATGTCAATGTTTGTTTTATTGTAAAAAGAATGTTAATATTATATGGTAGTGCTTAATTTAAAATGATAAAACGTAGATGTTGAATAAAAAGGGATCAAGCTTTCCATTTATGACTAATTCAAATCCAAATAAAGCCTGCAAATGAGGTGAAAGAGAAACGAAAAAGCGAAGCAAAAAAAAAATAAAGTAATATACTAAAACCCACGCGTTTCATTTTACAGTTAGAGGCGCCCGGTAGAATTGCACAACGCACTCTCCGACACAATCTAAAAAAGGTGTTCAATTTAATTTAAAATTGAGAAAGGAGTGGTCTAAACTAGTTCCATCAATTTATCGACGAAGCGAAAAAATTTAAAAAAAATGCGATTACGGTGTTAATTCGGCGATATCAACATTTAATACTTTATTGTTGCAGTTCAATGAAACCAGATTAATTCTCCTTATTCCTTATCAAGTAAAATCTTTATAAATTTTATTGCAACAACTTTGTTGTTATCTTAGCTATTTTTTTTTTTATAAGATAATTAAAAAGTAGGTTAAGGTTTTTTTTGATTTAGTCAAAAATTATTCAATATTAAGATTGATATAAATTGTTATCAAGGTTAAATAGATTTTCTTCAAAAACAGAGTGCACCCATGTGTATCTCATTGTAAATATGTAACGTTGAGTATGACTACCTGTAATTTTCTAAAATTGTTTATAGCCACGCGCGCAACGATTTGCTGTTTATTGCTGTGTGCGTCCCCGACAACGAAACGAACACCGTGTACCGAGAAAACTCTATATACAAACAAAAAGTTACCTCAGCACAGTCAACTCGACTCACTCATAACGCGAATATCGTCGTCGGCATCAAAAACTTAAATAATAAAAACATTATTAAGCGTTTTTGGACGTACAAAGAAGAGGTGAGACTTATTTTATAACAAATTGTATAAAAATAAAATCGAAATTCGTTCTATTTAATTTATACTAGTAATATTATAATAAATGTAAGTATAACGTTATGACGGAAGAGAAAGTTATTATTATAACAAAAATAATTGATTTAAAAATGCAATCGAATCTATCTCAATTGGATTTATCGAGGATTAAATTAAGATTTTATTTTTATCAAAACGATTTTGTTTCAGATCAAATTAAAAGATAAAAAAAAAGGATTTTCGGGGTAGTGAGTGAGAGAATGCGCAAAAACAACTCGAAACCGCAAAGAAGAGTCATCGTCATCGCGTTGAGAGGATCTTGAAACGAAATAAAGAAAAAAAAATAACTAAATAACCATCCAGACTTGTTTCTTTGTTATGTCCAAAAAAGACGGTGAGTTTTTTTTATTTTCTATTCAACCTGATCCTAACTCGACCGCTAATAAGAAGACTCGACTCTTGAAGTGTTTATTTAACGCTAACTGGAAAGCAAAATAAAAGGTTAATATAAAAATATCGTAAAAATGTGTAACTCACCTAAAATGACGTAAAACATAACCCCTTAAAACTTGGATTGTCAAAATTACGATATGAAAGGAAGGGCTGCCAACTTAATTAATTATTTAAATCTTCCCCTATATGATTTTTTATTATAAATTTAATTTAAACGAATTTATTGATTAAAACTCAATTTGTTATTATTAATAACCGATTAAAACGATTTCTTAAAGGATTAAAAAGAATCTGAAGAAAATTTTTTGGCACCTTTAACCCCAACGTTTTATTAAAACGATTATTTAAGAAAAGAATTTGATCTAAAACACTTAAACTCACCCAGAAATAACTAAAAAGAAATCAAATCTTGCGATATAAACCCATCTCGATGATTAATTATTAAAGAAAACACATAAAATCGCTTAAAACTGAATTGTCAAAATTGCGATATGAAAGGAAGGGCTACCAACTTAATTAATTATTTAAATCTCCCCCTTTGCGATTATTATAATTAATGTTTTTGATAAATTTAAACGAATTTGTTGATTAAAACTCAATTTGTTATTATTAATAACCGATTAAAAAGATTTCTTAAAAGATTAAAATGAAATCATTAAATCAATTGTCAATAAAATGACATGACATGTAGGGTTGCCAACCTAAAATTAGACTTTAATTTTTTTGTATTTTTTAATGCTTATTTAAGTTCTAAATCAGTGTTTTTGGTTCAAAACCATGATAATTGATCGAAAATTCATAAACATTAAGTCCGCTCATTCTTGCGCATAGAAAAAAAAAACATAACCTTTTCTTTCATAGCTGTTCGATTTAAGAACATTAATAGATAGAAAATTAAAAATCCTTTAAAATGAACCCAAACTCGATCAATTTATCTCCAATCGTTATCGAGATATCTTAATTTTTAGCATAAAAAATGGCGATTATTTGACATTTGACGGTTTATAACCTAACTTTTTCATTTTTTAACACAAACATAGTGTGTTTGGTACCAAATTAAAGCATTTTTGATTCTTATTGAAATCATTTCAATATTTATCAAAAAAACGTTATATTTAATTTTGACATTTGACAGTTTCTAACCTAATTTTTTTATTTTTTACCCCAAATATACCGAGTTTGGTATCAAATTAAAACATTTTTGATTCTTATTAAGATCATTTCAATATTTATCAATAAGTCGTTACATTTAATTTTGACATTTGACAGTTTATAACCTAACTTTTTCATTTTTTAACCCAACCATATCCTGTTTGGTATCAAATTAAAGCATTTTTGATTTTTATCAAGATCATTTCAATATTTATCAAAAAATCGTTACATTTAATTTTGACATTTGACAGTTTCTAACCTAACTTTTTCATTTTGTAACCGAACCATATCATGTTTGGTATCAAATTGCAGCATTTTTGATTCTTATTAAGACAATTTCAATATTTACCAAAAAATCATATTTAATTTTGACATTTGACAGTTTTTAACCTAACTTTTTTATTTTTTAACCCAAATATATCATGTTTGGTATCAAATTAAAGCAA